TTAAATTTAAGATTTTATAGAAATAATATTTTCACCTAAATTTATGATTTTATTTTATTTATATTTTATTTAAATAAAAAAATTAAATTATCAAATAAATCAAAAATCCAGGTGAAATGTTGAATCCTTTGCCATGTAAGCATGACATGGCAATATTTTGCCATCCAAGCAGCCAAGCAGGTTGTGTCCTCAACGGCAGTTAAGTCAGGCGAGCAATCCCAAACGGCGGTTAAGTTGACGTAAGAAGAAGGACTTAATTGCTTTGATCCCAGAGTTTAAGGGCTTAACTACATCAATTAAAGTTTTAGGGTTTAATAGTGATTCTGGGGTTAGTTCAGGAGCTTAACTTATGATTTTACCTAAATAAAAGTAAAAGTAAAAGTAAAAGTAAAAGGAAAAGGACAACCTTAATTGGTTCGGATGCGTTTAATTTTTTATTTAAGGACTACCTTAAATAAAAGTAAAAGTAAAAGCGCACATGGGTTTTTTGGCTTAGTAATGTTAGATCACGTATAAATGTAAATTTTTATTTTTAAAATAATGATTTGAATTTGATTTTTTGTGAATTTATTTAAAAAAATAAAAATAAAAGCACCTACCGTCTTTACTATCTTGGTTTAAGTGTGCTTAATTTTTTATTTCAGTTAAAGTTCAATATGTAATAACAGTTTTCTATTTTTCTTTTTTTCTAAATTTTTTTCCGTTAAAAAAAAAAGTAAAAGTAAAAGTAAAAGTAAAAGTAAAAGGAAAAGAAAAAAGAAATGGACAACTTTATCAAAAAAAAAAAAAAAGTATAAAGGAAGGGACATCTTTAACACTTTTTAATTTCGACCAAACGTGGTCTCGTTTTGAATCACAAATAACTCAAACTAGTACTGCAACAGAAGGAATGTTTAAGGGCTCTGTTTTTTCACCTTTTCTTTAACTTTATCAAAAAAAAGAAAAAAGGAAGGGACATCTTTAACACTTTTAAGTTCAACCACAAACGTGGCCTCGTTTGGATCACAGATAACTCTAACTAGTACTACAGAAGAAGGAATGCTTAAGGGCTCTTTTTTTATCTTTTCTTTAAACGGTGGTAATTGGAATTGGATAATAATTATAACAATACTGTAGCTGCAATTCAGATCTTGGATAAAAAAAGTCAAGATTATTAGTGATGCACTTTTATTGCGATTAATGCTACAAGTGCGAATGCAACGCAAAGTTTTAAAAACCGATTTGAAGGTCAAATCGTTTTGATTTTTGGTTCTTGATTTAATTAGTTTAATCGGTTCAATCATTCAAACCATTGAATCAATTGAAATGAATAAATATAATGTTGTGTAGTACTTTTATAACATGATGTGATTGATAAAAAATATCTGATATCTTTTAGATATAATAAAATTTTTTCATCCAAAGGCTCCCAGCTTTCTTTTTTAGTTAATGATTTATAGATTTTTTTAATTTTAAATTATATAATAAAATATAATTTTATTCTACTTTTTATATTATTTTATATATAAAAAGTAATTTAAATTTAAATTTTTTATTTTTTATTTTTTAATAAAAATTATTATTAAATTATATAACTTATTAACAATAACTTATAAATTTCTCCCTAAACTTTTATAGTTGAATACATTACCAATTGACTACTGTTTCTCAATCATTAGAACAGACAATCCACCGGCCCTGTTGCAATATGGCTGAGAATTTTGCACAACAGTTTGCAGAGTTTCGCCAGAAGTATGAGGCTGATCAATTGGCAATATGATAGAAATTGGATGAGGCTAGGGTGACCATTTTTCAAGCAATTAGTGCCATAACCGGAAAGTCTTTATTGGCATCCGGGCTAAATCAGGATTCCAGCAATCCTCCTCTATTTCAGGAAGAAATCCTACCGTTTTCACTATTCAAGAGGTTAACCTTAAACCAAAATCTTCTTTATATCAAAAATCTAGGACTATAGAACGGTAAAATGAAATTAGAAATATAAATATAATTAACAAATTATATATAAATTCTACCTTATATACAAAAAATATATTTTCAATTTTTTTTATTTTACTTTTTTTATTTCTATAATATAATATATTTTTAAAGGGTTAGTGCTTGTCCGCCTTATTTTCAAAAAATTAGAAGAAAAAATAACAAAAATTACTTTAATACATACTTTAAAAATATGGTAGTTTAGTCTTTTCTAATAAAAATTTATTGAAACGACGTAGTTTTAGAATGATTTTCTTCCTAATTTTTAAGAGGTAAGGCTGACAGACACTTTTTTTTATTTTTAATTATTGCACTATAATATTAATCATTTTGACTACCATTTTTTATTTTTTTATTTTATAATTATACAGTATAATTTAATTAACTCAATTAAAAAAATGCAATTCTAAATCATCATTTATGCAAACAAAAACTCTACTTTTAAAACCCTCTACCCTCTTTTCTTCTTTTTTTTTTTTGGTACACAACCCTCTACCCTCTTGAGTGATAATAACTTGGGTTTACATATATTGACTGCCTTATTAGTACTATCATTTTATTATATATAATATTAATGTAT